ATATTTTATTTTATTTTATTTTATTTTATTTTATTTTTTTTCTTTTCATACAGGCGCCACGATTTGTCGCGTAAACATGGAAATATTGTGGTCCCTCCTGAAAACGATACAGTTCAAGTGTTTTTGGACAAAGAACTCAAACTTCTTGGAGTTGGTGGAATTTGGGGAAAATCATTATTAATTCGTAGTGCTGATTATGGAGAAGACATTCGTTCTTGTTCCAATATCGTGGACCTAGGAGACGTCAAGACTGCTGAGGCACTGTTTACTTCGCCAGTGGCTGGTAGGGTAATCTTTCGGCAGAGTGAATTAGGAGACACAACAATTTCTGCAACTTTATTTCACACAGGGGATGGCTACAACCCCACGTCTCGACATGATTGGAAGATACTGGTCACAGACATACTGGACAGAACGGTCATTCGTCGCCTACAGGATAGATGCGACTACTTAACCATTTTGTATGACCCAAACAACATAGACGATACGAACTGCACCAAAGAAAACCATGAGAACTGTAAGGCTGGCGACTTGGTGAAGAAGCACGGTCAGATTAAAGTGGGATCTACCAATTCCAGGTACTCCCAAGCTTTCTTTATCGATACAAACTTGCAGTTTGCCTCACTAGATGGCTACAGGAGCCTCTATTTGGCACTGTTCGAGGAGAAAAACGCATTCCGTATCGTGGCTTGTGCGCAGATAATCGAAGTCAAACCTCGTGAAGTGAAAGCAGTTTTCAACAACGATGGCGTGACTGGTTTTATTCGATTTAGTCAGAGGTACAAAATGGATCCAACAATTGTCACGGTCAGTCTGAAGAATCTTCGAGGTCGGGGATCAGGCTATCACGTCCATGAGTTTCCTGTACCCCCAAGAATATTCAAGGATGATGACATTTGTTCCAGCCAATCTGTAGGTGGACATTTCAATCCTTTTCAAGTGAATAGGACCTTGAGCCCAGCACCAGGTACTGGAACAAATGACATGTATGAGGTGGGAGATCTTAGTGGGAAATATGGCCTCTTGGACGATGGGCTTCTGCCGACCTTTCATTTTGGAGTTTATGCCGACTTCAGTCTTCCGCTGTTCGGGACTTATAGCATTATTGGGCGATCAGTGGTGATCCATCGACCCAATGGTACCCGATGGATCTGTGCCAATATTAATTATCCCACAAAATCTCGCACGGCAGTGGCTAGGTTCGTGTTTCCTGTGGTGGGAGAAGTGACGTTCCGGCAGGAACTTGGCAACCCCTGGTCTGAGACTACAGTATTTGGCGAGTTCAGTTACTCTGATGGAACCCTGAATAATACAATAAATCATCGTTGGGAAATTCATGTGGACCCTCCGGGCAGAGACTTTTATAACTGGTCTAAACGCTGTGAGAGTGTGAGGGAACAGTACAATCCATATAGGGTAGGGTTGGAGAGGGGATACAATCGAGAATGTCACCCAGCGAATCCTCTTCGATGTTCTCTCGGTGACCTTACAGGGAAATCAAGAAAAATCACCGTGGCTGCTCGTAAAGGGAGCACCCAAAACAAGGTTTTCTACACGGATGTTTCACTGCCACTGGATGGCCCCACCGGAATCGTGGGACGTGCCATCGTTCTACACGATGACCTGGCTCCTCATCATCGTGGGGATAGGCTGGCCTGCACTTTGATTGTGCCATTTCGAGGGATAAAAGCTAGTGTTAAGACTTGGTCGGTGGCCACTGCTGTAGAATCAAACGTTACAGGTCTTATACAATTTTCTCAAGAAACAACGCACGACCAGACTTACGGTAAGGTAGACTTCCGAGGAATGGCAGGACTGGCTAGTGGCTATCACATTCATGAGGTTTCCGTTCCTCAAGATCTCGAGTTTCCCTGTACCAGTGATGCAGTTTATGGTCATTTCAACCCCTTTCAGGTGAATGTACCTGTTGGTCCCGCTCCAGGTGTGGGAACAGTTGACCAGTACGAGGTCGGTGATCTCAGTGGAAAATACGGCTTGCTGGACAATAAAAATGTCACTAGGCTTGACTTTGAAGACAGTAATTTACCACTGTTTGGACAAAATGGCATTATAGGTCGATCTGTTGTCATTCACAAGAAAGAACGAAATTTCCGGTGGGTATGTGGAACTATACAACCCGATTATAAGAAAGAGGATGTTCATGAATACAAAGCCATCGCTTCGTTTGATCAGTTGGAGTCCTTTGTAGAAGGTTACGTTCGTTTAGTAAGTAGCACTAATATAGTAAAGCGTTGATATTTAAAACTCATGCTTATTTTGTATTATTAACCTAAAATTAGAGGTAATAACTCAGTTTTTGAATTCAATAATCTATATAAGGCAAGTGCCAAGTGATGAAATGCCTTTAATTTAAATGAGCTCTTAAGCCTAATTTTTACGTAGTTCTTTTATTTTTGTACAGTGCAGTTTTATTACGAAATTGCTACTCTTTGAAGGGATTTAAATTATTTTCAATATTTTTGTTAAGTTCTTTATTAGAGACGCAATTAGGTTTTTTAGAAATATTTTTTATACAATGATAAATATATTTGGAACAGTACTGAAGAAATACAGGATTAGAACCCTTTTCTTGTGTTATTTTTCTATACTAAAAACAAGTGCATTCGTTATTGTTTCATAATTTAGCTTTTAAAGCTTTCAAACAACAAGTTTTTCAAATTAAAAGGAATTGACAGCAAATATTTCTTACAAACTATATGCATTTTATCTAATCCACGATCTTGCACTCTTGAAATAGTCTTACGAAGTTTTACTCTAAAACATGATGCTAATTTAAAATTTAATGACCTTGCATTCTTGAAACTGATGTCGATTTTTTTACTGTAAACCCACAATGTTAGGTTTAAACCTACGAATTTGCAGTCTTGAAAACTTTATGAAGTATTTTAACCCAAACATTGTAACAGTAACCTTTAAATTCCGTTCAGTAGATTATTAAACAAGACATATAGGCTAGAGGTGAAAAGTTACAAGATTTTATTATGCTGTATTAAATCAGAAGTTCAAAGATAAATCATAATCTTTCCAAATATACACGAATAAAAAGTGCTAAAAATTAAACTAAAGTTTGCATCAACTTGAAAATGATCCACGTTTTAAAACAGACTGGGTTTGGAGCAAAATATTTCACAACGAAAAACCACGGAATTTAAAGGTTACTGTTACTATGTTTCTCCAATGCAATTATAAACTATTTCGTTGATACTTCGATAGTTTGGTAAAAAGTACCCGTAACACGTTTGACTCTTGTTTACTGTTTTACAAAAATTATTAATACATTTGGAAAATTATTCGACAGTTTTATGTTATTGTATACTTCTAACGTAATGACCTTTTAAACAGCGACAGCTAGAATACAAAGATGGAAGTCTCAGTGACACGTGGATTGAGGTGTACTTGAGACATCCGGGAAGACGTAACAGGAACATAGTAAGTATAGGGTATCATAATCGGGAAGACGTAACAGGAACATAGTAAGTATAGGGTATCATAATCGGGAAGACATAACAGAAACATAGTAGGTATAGGGTATCATAATCGGGAAGACATAACAGAAACATAGTAGGTATAGGGTATCATAATCGGGAAGACATAACAGAAACATAGTAAGTATAGGGTATCATAATCGGGAAGACGTAACAGGAACATAGTAAGTATAGGGTATTATAATCGAATAAACAACTTATTACCCGAGGAGGTGCGCCATACTTAGTTCTCCGAACAGAAACATAGTAAGTATAGGGTATTATAATCGAATAAACAACTTGTTACCTGAGGATGTGCGCCATACTTAGTTCTCCGAACAGAAACATAGTAAGTATAGGGTATCATAATGGAATAAATAACTTATTACCTGAGGAGGTGCGCCATACTTAGTTCTCCGAACAGAAACATAGTAAGTATAGGGTATTATAATCGAATAAACAACTTGTTACCTGAGGATGTGCGCCATACTTAGTTCTCCGAGGTTAAATCTATATTAAGTGTAAGAATAAAATCAGATATATTTGATGAAGTACATTGAATACGATCCTAAGCGTAGGCTATTGTTGACAGGTCATGAACTTCGAGTAAGTAAGGTATCATGTTTTTCAAACTTACATTTCGTTCGATGAACCGTGCCATATTTCACACCTGGTTCATGTATTATTAGTAACAAAAAGTAAAGCTTTTGTTATTTTATATTTAGATCTCAAGCGCTAGTTAACGAAAAGGATATCGAGATTCGTTTGTACACGATAAAATAGTTTGAGAACCTTTTAATTACAACAGCGACCTGATACAATAAACGTTACTGTATTAAACCTAAAGCAGAAAATAGATAAGCTAGGTTTAATGAATGAGGGGACAAATGGTTGTGCTAGAACAGACATATTCCAGAAGAATAAGCCAACTTTATATTATTGTTGTACACTTTGGAAATTTGTCCGGTTTTTGCAAGTGTTATTTTGAATATAATTTTACCTTGAGTGTTTTATATGCAGTTAAAACAGCAGCTATAACTCTAGTTTTGCATGTGACCACAGCTGTGGCATTAGATTTGTATCAAGACACAAAGTTATTCTAAATTTTTAGAGGCTCATCTATAATGTCTGATTTATTTGCAAAGATAAAATTATAACGTTAGCTATACGAGTAGACACAATTATAGCCCAACGTTTGTGAGTAAACCTGGTTTGAACTATTGACTATTCTATATATATCAGTATCTATTGTATTTTTTTAGACAAGTGCATATGAACTTATAAATGTAGCTATAGCTTTAGTTTTCCATGTAGACTTTTGGCATGTTTTTATGCAGAGTTACAGCTGCAATACGTTAACTCCCTCTACAAACAACAGTAGTTTTGTAAATAGAGAAAAATTACTGATCCAAGTTTTATAAGTTGGGGAAGCTGTATTTGTCATGTCACGCATGTATTCCTACAGAAGTTCACGCATGTATACTGACAGAAGTTGAGTCTCGTATATTATTATTATTATTATTACGACGACATCAAAACCGAGTCTCTTTGTTATACTGCAATTGCACCATAACGTGAAAATCTGAAGCGGGTTTTTATCTTTGCACTAATTCTAGGTCCCCAGATGGATCAGCGGTTATGTTCAACTCGGGACGCACCTTGTGTATCCACAAGCTATCTTTATTGCAGAGCATCTGTTCATTGACCGCACTTTCCAAGATGCTGGAATCGTTAGCAATAATTATAATATCACAGTCTTGCAAACTGTTTGCAAGAAAGCTTGTAGATACACGAGGTGCGTCCTGATTTGAACTTATACCAAACAGCGTCATCTTAACTCAGTGGTAAGTTTGAAGGCTTGTAACGCTAAAATCCGGGTTTCGATACTCTTGATGTGTACAGCACAGATAGCCTATTGTGCAGCTTTGCGTTTAAGAATAAACAAACGAACAAAATCGATTCCTTGCGGTGGACATAGCAAAGATAACTCATTCTGTAGCTGTAGGTTGAAACAAACTCACTGAAACAGAGATTAATACTAGTGGCTAACCGTGGTTATGTATCCTTTGACTAGAAGTATTAGATGAAGGCAACCGTGGTTATGTATCCTGTGACTAGAAGTATTAGATGAAGGCAACCGTGGTTATGTATCCTGTGACTAGAAGTATTAGATGAAGGCAACCGTGGTTATGTATCCTGTGACTAGAAGTATTAGATGAAGGCTAACCGTGGTTATGTATCCTGTGACTAGAAGTATTAGATGAAGGCTAACCGTGGTTATGTATCCTGTGACTAGAAGTATTAGATGAAGGCAACAGAAAGCTACAACATCCGAAGACCGAAGTTCTTTCTCGTGTTTTATTTACAATAAATTCAATAGTATAATAGTTACAAAAGATTAGGGGATTTGGTGCTTAGAAAGGTTTATTTTTAGGACACAAAGTACTGTTTTATGTGTTTCTTAAGAGACAATTGTAAAACAAAAATTCGGCTCACGATTTGGTTATCAGAATTTCTCATGGTTTTCGGTAAGAAAGAAATATCACATCTCGAGACATAATTTAATGATTTTTCTCCTTTTTGCAACAGACCACGGGTCACAACTGGGACGTGTTCGTCAACCAAGTCGGCCATGATGCAGTACAGCCAGTAGAAAACGTACGTTGTATAGCAGCAGGATACAGGTGGAACCCTTACCTGTCCAAGTCTGATGACGTAAGTTGATATAATTCGGCTACAGATATTTAGTCCTAGGGGGTATTTTGATAATCTAATTTTGTGCCGTATTGCTTGAGAGCCCATTACGCTGTTGGTCTCAGGACCCCTAATAACGTACGAGTCACGTAAAATAATGTATAAACAATAACATCAAGAGCAATCGGATAAATTACATACCCTAACCCCGCCGCTCCTTTTCGAGATTGCCTGCGCTTATATTGGATAACGTCAAACTACACCTTCGAAAACTCGGAAAATCCTTCTCGGATCCAGAATGATCAACGATCCGGATATTTTTTTTTTTTGGTGTGATGAGAAATCTCAACGTTAATATGCCCATGAAATTTGGTACAAATCCGATCACACTTTACAGAATTATTAACCCCAGAACCGCGAAAATATCCTATCCCCCCCCCATTATAAAAAAAATGCTTCAAAGTGATACACAATCCGGATTTGGATCCGTACCAAATTCGGAGGACTACCCCATACAGACTTCCCATCTTGTTTTTGTGTACATAGGTCTATTAGTTTTTCGAGATACCCCTGCGGAAACAGACAGACAGACACACGCAGACCCAATTGCAATACCCTCGTCCCTCCTCCTCCGGGAGCGAGGGTAATAACTGAATATTGTCCTAGTGGTAATTGAAGCTATAAAAACAAGATATTCTTTAGATGATAATTCGAAGGTTGAAGCGGGATATAATTATAAATGTTCATCGGATAAGAACATTGTGAACCACCATTAGATAATAAAACACAATGTCTCTGAATAATACATATTCTTCATTTGATATAAACTTATTTTAATGTTAACTATTTCGTTAGCGCTAAATAATTTTCATATTCTTCTGTTCTTCCTTTGTATTCAAATTCTTTACTTATTATTTATTTCTGGCGCAGATAGCCCTCGTGTAGCTTTGCGCGAAATTCAAAAACAAACAAACAAACAAACATTTATTTCTGATTGTCATATTTTTGGTGTAATTACCATTGTGTTTGTTTTGTACCTCGAGTTGATGTTTTTAAATTAAGGAACTGGATTGACAATGTTTTATGTATTCTTTGTTCCCAAACAGTAAAGTAGAGCATACTAAATTGTCAATGTTTTATGTATTCTTTGTTCCCAAACAGTAAAGTAGAGCATACTAAATTGTCAATGTTTTATGTCTTCTT